GGAAATGGGTCAGTATAAATGAGATCAGATTTATTCAAATGTGAAGAACTAGATGGAATAGAAAAGAAAGGAATATGCTCTATGAAAATAACATGACGAGAGACATAGAGTTTGTGTGAAACAGGATCATAGCAATGATACCCCTTTTGACCCTCACCATAACCAAGGAAAATACATAAAGCTGAACGAGTAGAGAGCTTAGTACGAAGAACACTAGAAAGCAAAACAAAAACAGGTACACCCAAATACATGCAAAGAGAAATAATCAGGTGGCTTACCACATAGTTTTTCAAATGGAGAAATTCCAGAGGTAATGACAGTGGGAATAGAATTAATCAGATGGACTGCAGTAAGAATTGTTTCCCCCTAAAAAGAACTTGGAACATTTGCTGACAGTAAGAGAGAGCGTGCCGTTTCCATAATATGTCGGTGTTTGTGTTCTGCTACACCATTCTGTTCAGGTGTATCAATACAAGAAAATTGTCAAACAGTATCATCAGATTTTAATAGATCACGAAAAGAGTTGAAAGAATATTCTCTTCTTTGGTTACATCGAAAACATTTAATAATAGATGAATATTGAGTACGTATCATAGCACGAAAAACAGTGAATATAGAAAAGAATTCAGAACGATGTTTCATTAGATAAACCCAACAAAATCTAATATAATCATCAATAAAAGAGACATAATATTTTGACCCTCCTTTTATGGGAATAGGAGTCGGTCCCCAAACATCAAAATGAACCAGATCAAAAGGTGCAAGTGAGCTAGTGGAACTTTTATTAAAAGGTAATGCAGTAAATTTAGTTAACTTGCATCCACTACAATTGGAAATATCATGACACTCTAAATTACCCAAATTTTCAGTAGAGGCTAAAAGTTTTAAACGAGAGTGGGACACATGACCAAGACGAGAATGCTACAAATAGAAACTAAAAGACTGTGGACTTAAATGAAAAGAAGATATATCAATAGTAGAAGCAACAATATCAAGAATATGTAACTCGACTAACATATACAATCCTCCCTTTTATTGCCTGTCCCAACAGTTTTTTGGAACGTAGATCCCGTACAATACAACCAGAAGAGGAAAAATGAACTAAAAATCCAGAGTCAAATAACTAACTGACTGAAATTAAATTTATGGTAACCTGTGGAATATAATAAACATTAGGAAGTGTTAGATGCGGAGAAATTATAGATCTAACACCAGCTAATGACATTTGTGTATCATTAGCTGCAAGCACAGAAACAGATGGAGGAAAAAAGGTAGATGCAAATAAGGAAGAATCACTAGTCATATGATGGGTAGCACCTGAGTCAAAGACCCAGGTGGTTCGAGATATACCTGAAGGACCCAAAGTGAACGAACCTATAGAAGGTGAGATGGAAAGAGTATTAGGCTGTTGAAGGAGCTCCTGCAATTGATCAACAATCTTAGTCAATTTTAAACTAATTGACAGATGAGAGTCAGAATTGTCGCTCTCCATAATTGTCATTAGCCAAAATTAACAACAATCAAATTAACGGAATCAATTCCAAATCACCAAGCCCAACTGAAGTTCAAAGGCCCAACAATAATAGAAGCCAAACTGACCCAACAATTATAGCCCAATGGAAAATCAAAGTCCCAGCTAGAGAACAATAGCCAATCAATCAGTCCAACAGCCCAAACAACAAATATCAAACAATCCATTAGCCCAAAGTAATAAAGAACAATAAAATTCCAGCTCAGCCTAAACTATCAGTAACTGCAATCACAAAGCAGCGAACAGGAGCAACGAACAAACCCAAAGCAGAACAATAGCAGCGAACAACGACAAAACAAAGTAGGCAACAAAGTCTTCCAGCAAGCCAAGGAGAGAAGAATATTCAAAACCAGCAACAACGAAACAACAGAGCAATAATTGAAGCTAAAATTCTGCACAAGCTCACAACTTGCATGGGCCACCAATCGCTCACACCTCACACCCACAACCAACAAACCAACAATTAATAGATTAAAGAGCAGCAACAGATAAGGTAGGAAGATGACGTGAGTAGCATAAGGCAGAAGCCAAAGAAGAAGTGATAAACCAGTCACTATAGTGTTTGCCGAAGGAGGAAATCAACCAAAAATCCCATTCCTTTGCATCAAAAATCAGTTCAAAATGGTGCAAAGCATCCAATTGAACACCAAGGAGGCAATATACCAAAAAAAAGGGCACTAAAAATCAAAATTCGGCACCGTTCACAGCATGAACAATAATGTCGGCACTGTTCATAGCATGAATAATGTTTTCGGCACTGTTCAGAGCCCCTTAGAACCACAAATAGCAATCCACCTATCACTAGTCCTCAAATCACACAACTAAAGAATATATTCTTCCTCTAACTAAATTATCGTGGTATTACAATATATATTTTGGATTGAAACCATGCTCTGATACCATGTAAACTTTGATAAAAGCAAAGAGAGAAAGAGGAGACAATAGAGAATAATTGTATTACAACATAATAGAAAAATGCATACAAAAGGCCCTTATATAGTAGGACAACATAAAAGAATAAAAGGACTAAACTACCCTTAAGATTAAATATTCTAACTAAACATAATTTAGGGTTCACTTACTGCCTACACAAAGTCACAAATTACATGTGAAATTTTGTTGATCGCAAAGAATCATGTGGGTTCTGAAAGGCTGATCTTCTTTATTTCTTATTAAATTCATTATTTTTTGGATTTTGCATGCAAGTTGGGTGTTTGCAGAATGTGGGTCATCTTTTCACATATTCTTTACCTTTTTTTGGCATGCTTTTGCTATCGTTGGGTTTTGTAACTTATGTGGGACGATTGTGGGTTGAATCGGTTCAAATCGAAGAAGAATTGGTGATCCGCCCGAGTTATACCGAGTTGGGTCAATATGTAGCCTATTCAAACTCGACTCTGGATTTTTTCGTAACGGATATTGGTATCATATCGATAGTGGCTGAGGTGGATATGACTCAGCCAAGTTATATTGGTCTTGGCCGATACCTTGAACCGTTACATGCAAAATTAAAAAATAATGAATTGATAAGAAATAAAAAAGATCAATCTTTTAGTAACCCACATGGTTCTATGCAATCAACAAAATTTCACACGCAATTGAACCCTAAGTTAGATCATTTTTCCTCTTTTTCCAATTATATAAATAGATCAAGAATTAACATATAACACATACGTATAAATAAAATGGTTCAAATTTTCGATCACTAGCATATTTCGACCCTACTGATCGGCTACCGCAAAAAATTGGGTAGGCCAATGGAAGAAGTTTTGATATTCCACAAAAATCGGGTAGGAATGCGAAATACTCATAAAAATTTTGTATTCCTACCCGACCCTACTCTATCCATATATATGTGTGTGTGTGTATGTGTTAATGTGTGCTTGATATGGTTTAAACCTAAAATAGTTATTATATTTGTGCAACAATTAAGATGTATTGATTTTTATGACTTTCATGTTGTGTTTTATTGTAATTGTTTATGTGTTATCTAATTTATTGTGTTTCTTTGGTATTATTGGTTTATTGTTTTGGTTAATTGATGCAATTACTTAATTGACCTGTTAAAATGATTCCAACATTAATAACAAAAAATGTGTTCTTTCGATTTTCTACCCGACTCCTTATCCGATTGTTTTGGACATAATTTTGATAGGAATAATACAATTGATTGGGTAAGGTCGACTAAGAAAAAATTCTTCCACAAAATATCGGGTAAGAAGATTAAATACTATAATTCCTATACTTAAGGTTGGGTGAACACCACTATCTATAAAGCATCGTAGATGCATAAAAACCATTTTAGTTCTTCTTCTTCATCGGAGAGACGCATAAGCCCTAGTAATACCAGCTTTCTAGAAGTAGGCCAAAGCCCTAGCAGTAGGAGCCCTCCATCTCTTTCTAGGCACGACCAGCTAGGTCCAAACTGTCTCTCTTTTGCTGTTCGGTCATTTCGTTGACTGTGAGTTGTGAGAGACTAAGAGTCTCAAATTTGAGAGTTTAAGGCTTTGTGAGGAGTAAGATGTAAAGGCAGAGCCTTTTTTTTTTTGTCAATTTTTTTTGTTCTTCGAACTTCAAACCCCCTCTCTCTTAAACTGTAAAACAAAATCTTTTTTTTTTTTTTTTGGTTTTGGTTTTGGTTTTGGCCTTTTTTCTTTTTTTTTTTGGTTCGCACTTCGAACCCATTCTCTCTCTCTCTCTCTCTCTCACAAGTAGTCAAAACACTCAAACCAAGGCCCAATTTTTTTAATTATATAATTTTTACTATTTACCACTAATTAGAACTAAACATATTAAATGGAAATTTTTTTTATAATAAAATAAACATTTTTAAAGCTATTAATTGAACTATATATAGACACTTGTATTTTTTTATAATTCTTAAAAATTATAAATTAAGTTATATGAACATTAGTATAATATTCATATTCACTAGTTTTGGAATCTAATGTATTTATGTCGTTCATACTTTATGGATACATATTTGTCGTCTTTTTTTATTTTTAAATTCGTAGATTTACACTTATTGGAAGCTTAAAAAATTAGTGACATTTGCTTCTTAATTTTGTAGAATGACTCAATATGTTCTTAAATGCTTCCATTGAACATAGATGATGACAAATATATTTTAGTAGTGGCCTTATTATTCTTTTTTTACAATGATTAATGTATTAAATAATGCATTTTGGGGATATGATGCATGAATGATGATGTTTACATTTATTATAATTTTTCCTGGTTTTTTCAAAACTTTTTGAGCCTTCTGTATAGCGTTTTGAGCGTATCGGCTGATACCGCACTGTGACATCGGGACCGATGTGCCTCAGTGGCCTCTGACTCAAGGGCCGATATCACGACCTTAAACCATGCTTAGTTCCCTCCTACCCTTTTAGTCGAGTGGCTTCGCTCCTCCAGCAGATGAAATAGTTCACGACCTTCTTCCAGTTTTCTTGGAATCTCGCATCGTACAATGCGCTGGGTTTTTGGTTTACGAACAACTGCCTCTCCATCAGGTGTAAGGCTCTATCTTGAGTGGTATGGGGATTCTTCTGACTATAGTATCGACAGAGGCTACTGGACCGTAGCTTCAACGGCAGGAGGTTATAGGAATGAAAACAGGTTTAAAAAATTAAAACCATACTTATTCTTGATCTCTCAAACTATGGTATATCATCTAGTTTAATGACTCAAATTCTCTTATGATGCATGTTGTTTGTAGTCTATGGTTAGGTATATAAAAAAGTAATTTTATATGACATTTGTTGTCTTTCTCTGTGGGCCATTGCTCAATGTTGTAGTAGAAGTGTGAGGTTAACAACAGAGGGGTTCTGGGTTTGACTCTAGCACCCATTTTAGGCATGGTTCAAGGTCGCGGTATCGGCTCTTGACTCTGGGGCCACTGAGACACATCGTCATCAATGCATCATATCCCTAAAAGACATTATTTGACATATTAATCATTGCCAAAAAGAATAATAAGGATACTACCGGAAAATATTTATTGTCCTCTATATTCAAGGTTAATATAATTTAATTTGTAATTTTTAAAAATTATAAAAAAATATAAATGTATATATATGGTTAACTTAATAGCTTTAAAAATGAAAATCTATTTATAAAAAAATTCTTCATTTAATTATTTATTATGTGTTTAATTAGATCGATTACATGTATATGTATTTTATGTATGATGATTATATGTATTTTCTCCATTATGTACATTTAATTATTAAATCATCAATACATATACAAAAATAAACTTAAGGAGTTAAGTTCTAATTAGATTATATGATAAATACTAAAAATTATATAATTAAAAAAATTGAGCCAAAACTGAAAAAACAAAAAGAAAGGAGAGGAAAATAAATTTTTGGGTCTGATAAAGCCAAAGCCTCACGTGAACCAAAGCCTCTCTCTTCAACTCTCAACTTCGACGAACACAAAGAACAGATAGACAGAGCACAGAGATGATGGGTCTTTGCTATTTGGGACTCATCGTGAAGGCTGGGTCTTCTGCTATCAAGTAGTCCGATCGTCGAACAGCCTAGGGTCTGCGATGTTGATCGATGAATTGCAAAGAAGATGGAAAGTAAGAACCGCGAAGAAGAAGGAATGTCCGATCTGCGATGTTAATCGATGATATTGGGTCTCTGATTAGGGAGATTTATCACAATTTTTCAGGCTTGTGTTTAATTTTGTTCTAACTATCTTGTTTTATTTTTATTATGGTAAAAAAGGTCTAATTTAGGGTTCAATTTCTCATCTTTTTTTGCTTTTTTTTGACATTTTCTTTGTTACTTGGATGATTCTGTGCGTATTAGTTTGATTCGAAAGTGAATCAACCGAGTTTGTCCGAGTTGGCCTGTTTTAGAACCGATTCATGGTAGACTCGTGATAGTCTTGTATCGTGTATCGTTATCGGATCGGCACCTACCGATGCGGATTGGCCGATACTTTGAACCTTGATTTTAGGCAAATGATACCAAAAGTTATCTCTTCTCATTACATCTCTTCTAGCACTCGATAAGCGGGGACTAAGCTGTGTAGTGACCATTCATGACCATTTTCTGTAGTTAACACAAATTTCTTTATAGCACTGCTATCAACTATTTCCTTAATTTTCCCTTGAAATTTCTGTCCTTTTATTGCTATTATCTTGAGGCCATACTCCTAGGTAGTTTACTCTACTGAAATATTTGTATCCAATGACTATGAGTTTCTCACATTTTTGCTCCCTGATTCCAGTGCTGATCCCCAGGCATCCGTTCAACCAATGACACCTGTCATCCAAGATGAAGCTCCTGGCGGAATGACAGCAAACTCAGAGAATATGCTAGCTACTAATGATGTAAATCAGGTTTATTTTGGAAGTTAAAATTCAAAGATAGCTTTATGATTCTAATTCTCGTTTTGCTTTGTTTCTCATATTCCTGTGTTGACTGAAGTTCTGGTCATTGTGTGATATTGAAATTACCACCTCAGTGTTCTGAATATATTTCTCCATGTGAGCAGATTGAAGGTGTTGATGGAGATACCAATTTTCTTGAGTTTGCTCCAGCTCCATGTACTCCTGGATTGGTGGAAGAGCCAAACTTGTCAAATGTGCAAGAGACTTCAGCATGTGATGATCATTTGGAATTAGAAGATCATAGTCTAACAGATTTTGCTCTGAAAGAGAACTTGGAAAACGGTTTCAGCAAATCAGACCTTCATCATGGGAATGAAAATGTGGTGGATTCGCGTGGTGATGTGGATTCTCATACAGTTATTCACATGTCTGCTGAGGAGAATGGGTTCCATTTGGGTGATGTGGACATCAATCAACTAAGGCCACAGGGACAGTCCTCTGCTTTAGCTGATCAAGCTAGAGGCATATCTTCAGTTTCAGAATTATCAGATAGGATGGTAGTTGCATCCAGTGGTCCATACAGGGATGAAGATTTACGGAGTGACCTTGTCAGCAACAACGTGCCTGGCATTCATTCCATTGATGGATCCCTTGAAGACCATTTGGAGCCTCAAAAAGTTTGGTTGGGTGAAATTACTCCAGGTATGCCCAGTTTAAGTAGAACCTGTCAACTAGTCTCAGAAGGTTTTTTGGAGGATAATCAAGCATCACCCAAACCAGAGGTTTCTAATAAAATGGGAATTGCAGGAAACCTGAAGGACTACTGCGTTGTTAGCGTTGCATCAGAATTAATCGCCGAATCTAAAGGTGGACCTGACCTTGAAACTCAGGTTTGTGAGGAGCCAAAAGATCCCAGGGATTTGGATGTAGCTATTCAGGAAGAAATGGCAAGTACTGACACTTGTGTTCTTCCGCCATGCAATACTCATCTGAACCAACCTGCTAAAATATGTCCTGGAGTTGGCAGTTCTCTTGATCCTGATTCTCTATCTGAATTTTCTGGGTTGGGCTCACTGGAAACTTCTGGGAGGGAGAAGGCACCCCTTGCTTCTAGAGCTTCCTTTTTGTTGCAAGGTTTGTTTGACATGTTTATGTATATAGTTTTCCGTGATTTTATAGATGTATAGGGTTCCTTAGTTTGAGTATTGAATATGTCTGGATTTTCCAGGTGAAGAGTGTCATGCAACGGGCGGTCTGGAACAAGTTTTTGAGGAAAACCATGTAATAGAACCTGCTTCATGTGAAAATATTCAGGCAGTTTGTAGCAAATCAAATGATCAAGCAGAAAATGGGATTTCAGGAGATAGTCAGTTCGAGAATCGTTCTGCATGTTCTGACATGCCTGCCCCTGAGAAATTGCTATCTGTTCCAGAAGGACGTCTTGCTGATCCAACGAGTAATTTGCTAGTGGCGTATACACCAGACAAAGGAGTCTCAGCAGGTGCTGATGGAGATGGTGCTGGGAGCAACATCATTTCAGGAAAAAAGCGCAGTTTCACTGAAAGTACACTGACAGTACAGAGTTTGGATACTGTTAAATCTTTGGAGGTGGTCGGGACCAAAAGAACTGCAGAGCCTATTCCTGATGACGATGATTTGTTGTCTTCTATCTTAGGTATACTGAAGTGTTTCTTTCTTTTGGCTTTATGGATTGGATACATGCCGTTATGTTCCTAGGACTATTCTGAATTAGAAATTATTTCCAGTTGCTTGTTTTAGTAAAATGATGGTTGCTTTTGCTAGTATGTGTTTCTAAATGTCTTGGGCATTATTGCTTGTTTTAGTAGGGAGAAGATCTTCGGCTTTCAAAGTAAAGCCCACTCCTGCTGGTCCTGAGATAACATCGACGAAGCGCGCCCGGTCTGCAGCCCGTATTACTGCTTCGAAAAGGAAAGTGCTTACAGATGATACCATGGTTTTGCACGGCGAGTATGTCCCTTTGATGTGCTGTTACTTTGCTGATTACCCATTTTAGTATGTGTTTTTGTTCACTTGTTCGCATGGGGAAATGACGTATTCCTCTTACCCAAAAGAAAATTAAAAAAAGATTGTACCGTATATTTATGTTTTATGCAACACATGTTGCAGACCATATACCTTGCCTCTTTCCCATCAAACAGTACTCCATATGAAAGCATTTTGTATAAGTAAGAATTTTGCATGGTCCTCACTGTCCAAAAATTTCCTATCCTGTAATTGGTTTCAGTTTGAACTATTTGCATCGGCATGGTATCCTCTTATCGATGTCCTGATAGCATGGGCTATACTGATGTCTACGTGATTTTGGCTACATGTAAAAAGTTTAATGTGAGTAGCAATGTTATCAGAATCGGACTTGTCATCGAACCGGTAAGGAGACCGGGTCAATAGTTCAATCGTTGGATTAACTGGTCGGACCGGTCATATAATAAAAATAAAATATAATAATTTGACTAATAAAATTATAAGTATAAATATTATCAGTTAGTAGTTAATATTTTGAATATTATAAAAATTATAAAACATAAGAGTTATAACTTATAAGCCATAATAGTGAGTTGGTGACCGTGACTGTGTGTGTGTGTGTGTGTGTGAGAGAGAGAGAGAGAGAGAGAGAGGGAGGGACTTGGCTAAATTCAATAAACCATCCATTTTGATCCAAAGAGTCAAGAGTACAACTAAGGAAGGAAGAGATGGAAGACAAAGAGCCGAACACCGTTGGAGAAGACAGAGTCAAACATCACTGGACTGAGCTGCTGTTAGTCGTCGGAAAAGAGGAGGACCGAAGGAAGATGAAGACCACTGGACAAACCGAAGAAAGACTACTGAAGACGAAGACTATTGAAATCCCAACCATTCGGTTCATTGAGCTACGAATCTGCGATTGATTTAGGGCGAAAATGGCGCAAAAAAAAGATTTTTTTTTTATATAAGATTTGCTATTCCAACCGTCCAGTTTGAACAAACTGTCCGGTCCAAAACTGGCCGCTTTTGCGGTTTCTAGTTATTGTGCTTCTTTATGCAGTCTAACTGCATAACTGGATTGTTCCCGGTTTAACCGGTCTAACCGACTGGTCTAGTGTGGTTCTGATAACACTAGTGCGTTGACCCGATTATAGTTTTGAGTGTTATCATGTACTATGTTCTATATTGCAGTTTATTGTTATTTGACTGTTTCATATTACACATTATTGTAAGCTTGTTTGATTTTGTCGTCTTTATTACTAATATGATTCCTTCTTTTCCTCAAAAGCACAATAAGACTACAGTTGACAACCACCGAAGACATACGTCGGATACGAAAGAAAGCTCCTTGCACTCGCCTTGAAATTTCAATGATTCAGAAACAATTTGTGGAAGACGAAATTTTCTGTGAACCCATTCTTACTGGTGAGTTCATTGGCTTGAAGTAATTTACTCTTGTATGTTGGTGGTATTGGACCCCTGATAATTTTATTTGGCTATGGTTTTTGTATAATGGATGCATAGCATTGGAAGTCCGGGACTCTGGATTAAAGTCCGATATGCCCCACCTGAAGTTCTATGCCGAAATTGAATTTTCATTTTATGTGCATGACATCACCTGTATGCCCACTGTTCTTGGAATATGATGGTAATGGCATATATTTGTGTTAACTTCAAGTTTAATGTCTCAAGTTAAACCAATCTGCATGGTGTTACCTGTTAACTTACACTATTGTTACGATAGATTATCCAGTTGACACATTGTATATTGGAGACTTTTTTTTTGTGCATGTTACAATAGATTATTCACTTTCTGGGAGTTTTCCAAAGAGTTGTCTTAGGACATGTTTTAACAAATGAATTAATAAGTCCAAATGTTGTAACGATCATCGTTTGAGTTGTGCACCCTTGTGTTGATCATTGGTCAGTTTGCGATAGACATCTGCAACTTCTTTTTGAAGATGGTGGCATGTATTCTAGCTCGATACCTGAGTTATTTTGATATTTTTCCTCAGGTGTCTCCACAGAATTGGCTGCTCTGCACAGTCAAACATATGATCTAAGTACATCGACAGTCTACCAAAATTTTGTAAACACTTCTCCTCTTGAAGCACCAGCAGACGTGAAATTGACTTCCCAAAATGATGAAAATGGTACAAACTTGGAGGCAGCAAATATTGACCAAGAAAATGGAATGGATGACAGCATTGACTGTTTGGCAGTTGGAGTTAGTAGTGAAGCACAACCTCCTAAGACTGCTGCGTTGACTGAAAGCCAGAATTGTGAAGGCCATGCCTTAAACTCAGAGCTTTATGATAATCAAGTGCAGATGAAGCCTAGTGATGTAGCAAAACACTGGATTTTAGAACATGATCTTTTGGGAGAGACTCAAATGGAAATTGATGGAAAAAGCATTTCAGTTGATGATGCAGTAAATCCTGCTGTCACTATTGGAATTGAGGCATCACACCCTGCTGATCCCGTTTCTGTTGACATTCATGACATTTCAGCTGACACACCCCAGCTAGCTTCCTTGGACAAAACCAGTGAGGCAGATGCTTCTGTGCAGATTGATGCGTTAGGTGTGTCACCTGATCAGAAGTTGGATCCAACAGATAGTAGCAGTGGGAAGGGCGTTGATGGTAATGAAACTGCAGATAGAAAGGGTGATAATATTGCTGGTGCTGAAACTGAATCTAGATCGAAAAATGAATTGTTTTCAGAGGGAACTCAAGCTTGTGCTTCAATGGAAGTTGGAATAGACATTCTTAACGACTGTTCCACATATATGGAAGGTGCGAATGAAAATCAAGCCATGAAAGAACTCAGGAGACACGAGCAAGTATCTATGGAAAAGGATGAAATTTTAGATGCAGCAGTGGAATTCAATGCCAAGGACTCAACCCCAAATGGCTTCAGTGGTGAAGAACCCATAATGGATTCTCCATATGGAGCTGAGGTCAACGTGGAGGTGAAAAATGTTTCTGTGGATGGAGGAAATCCAGGCGGGTTGGATTCTTATCCACTGAGGATGACTGATATAGAGCATAATGTCGTCGACCAGGATCATCGTGATGTGAGTTGTTTACTTGGTTTTCTCACTCTTCTGTGACTATGATTTCATGGCAAAAATAACCAAATGCACATATATATTTTCTGGAATTCTCAACTATTTTCATATACAGCTTTCTATCTAAGTCATATGTCCGTCACTAGGTTCTTTGATTCTAGTTGGTTCATATTGCTGATAACAATATAGATACATGGACACCTATGTTTAAAAATAATTCTTAATGTTTGAAGTATTAATATTATGAATTATCTACCGTGGAACAAAGTTAGCTGCTCAAAAAAGTTATCATTTCTCCATGTTAAGAATAATAGGGTAGTATGTGTAAATTGTTAATAGTAAGAGGGTGTATGTGTAATTCTTATTATTGTAGGTTAACTATAAATACAAGTGATATATGAGAGTTAGGTTAAGTTTTTAACCTCTCTTTCTCTCTAATATTGTGTTAAGTTAATTCACTCAACTTAACATGGTATCAGAGCCTATACGATCATAAATATATATTTTGAATAAATTTTGTTCGTAGAAGTGCTATTGTTGTGGTGGTGTTGTACTGTTCATCGTGGTGGTGCTACTGTGTTGATTGTCGTTGTTTGGCGGCTGTGGTTGTGGTGGTGTGGCTGTGGTTTGTGGTGGCTGTGTGAGGCGTGGTCTGTGGTGGCTGTGAGGCGTGGTCTGGGTTCAGAAAACCCTCGTGGTCTGTGGTGGCTATGTGGTCTCAGTTCAGTAGAGGCACAGTTGCAGAGAGGGTTTTCTGAAACCCTAACCAACGAAAACCAACGAAGAACAAACAGTCTTCCCGATCCACTTCGGGTCAACCCAAATCTGACCCAACCCATAGTTTGGTTCGATTCAGACTAATTTCAGCCTGGTTCAGTGCTCCAGCAAGCCAAACCGGCCCGGTTCAGTGATCCGGCAAGCTAACTGAACCGTTTCAGTGCTCCAGCAAACTTTTCCAACCCGGTTCAGTGGTCCAGAGGCCTCAACCTCTGGCTCAGTAGTCCAACTAACTTTTCCAGCCCGGTTAAGCCTTCTAGCTGTTTCTTTTCCTCTACTTCAGCATTGTAACTTTTCTTGTTTACTATTTATTGCATTATTATGGAACTCAAGCAAGATAACAGGTCCCTTACTCCATCTTTGTCTTCTCCAACTCTTATCAATGGTCCCATGACCTTTATCAAACTTAATGGGACTAATTACACTTTATGGTCCCGATTTGTTCAAGTCTTTCTTCGAGGCAAAGGATTTAAGAAATATCTGGTGGGTTCTAAACCCAAGGAAGACACTTCTGGGTATGATCAGTGGGAACAAGAGGATGCTCAAGTTATCTCTTTATTGTTGAATAGCATAGAGCCCAGTATTAGCTTTTCTCTGTTCTATCTTGATACTACCAAAGAGATATCAGATTATTTGGCCACTATGTATTCTGGTACAGGTAATTTTACCCGTGCGTATGAGGTGTGAAGGAGTACTTCCGGTTGGAGCAGGGTACTTTGAGCCTTGCAGATTATTACTCTCATGTTCGGGGAGTCTGTGAGGAGATGAAGATTTACCATCCGTTTACTACCGATGTAACAGTTTGGCAAAAATAACATGAGGACCTGAATGTTGTTAGATTTTTGGTAGGATTGAACCTGAATATGAGGCTATTCGTTCTTAGATTTTGGATAGATCTAGTCTTTCATCACTGCTGGAGGTTTTCTCTCGTTTACAACGTGCTACACTGTCTACTCCTTCGGTTATTGATCATAGTGTCTCCACTGATTGCTCAGCTCTTGTGGTTTCTAATAGCCATAGTGATGGTCATCGAGGTGGACGTGGTGGTCGTGGAGGTCGTACGGGTAGTCGTAGTGGATCCCGTTCCTGTACTCACTGTGGCCGTGGAGGACACTGTTGATTTTTGTTGGAATTAAATGAAAAACCTTCTGGTACTGCTAATCAGGCTTCTTATCAGGATGACAACTCTGTTGTTGCTTCCATACCTCAGTCAACTCCACTAGACACTGGGTCGGTTACTATTACACTGAGTCGAGAGGAGTATGTTCAGTTCCTGTCCCAGCAACAGGCTGTTCCATCTCCCTCTACTGCTACTTTTGCCCAGTCAGGTACTGCTTCCACCTGTTTATTGTCCTCCACTCGCAATCCTTGGATCATGGTCTCTTGCGCCTTTGACCACATGACTGGTGCATCTGACGTTTTCTCTACTTATCAGTCTGCTACTTCCACACGTAGTGTTAATCTTCCTAATGGTACTTGTTCTAAAGTTTCAGGTCTGGGGCTACTCACTTGAGTCCTGATATGTCCTTATTTTCTGTGTTATTTGTTCTTTAGTTTTCTTTTAGTTTATTTTTCATTAGCAAGATTACCTGTTTTTTTAATTATTCTGTAACTTTTTATCCATTTTATTGTGTCTTTAAGGATCTCAAGACGAAGGGAAAGATTGGTACGGGGCGTAAAGCTGGTGGCCTATATTACCTTGACTTTAATTCACCTACCCGAGCTCTACAGATCTTGTTGTTTCCTTTTCAATGACATTGTCGTCTTTGACATTCCTCTCTCTAGAATCTGAAGCATCAGGTTTCCAGTCTTAGTTATGTGTCATCTTTGTCTTGTGAAGCTTGTTAAATTAGTAAGCATCACCGTGTGTTATTTCAGTCTAGAGTTAATAATCGTGTTTCTAGTTCATTTAAATTAGTCCATTCTGATGTATGGGGTCCAATAAAGAATATTTCATCTAATAAATATCCTTATTTTGTGATATTTGTAGATGACTATTCTCGTGTGACTTGGTTATTTTTGATGAAAGCTCGGTCTGAATTATTCTGTATATTTGAGACTTTTCGTAAAGAAATAAAAATTCAGTTTGGTTGTCGTATACGTACTTTACGTTTCGATAATGCACGAGAATATGAATCTAATCCTTTTTCAGCTTATCTCAGTAAAACTGACATTATTCATCAGACTTCTTGTGCTTACACTCCACAAAATAGTGTTGTTGAACGCAAGAACCGCCATTTGTTAGAAGTCACCCGTGCCTTGTTATTCCAGATGAATGTTCTCCGATATTATTGGAGTGATGCTGCTCTTACTGCTTGTTATCTTATTAATCGTATGCCTTCCTCTGTGTTGAATGGATAAAGTCCATATTCTGTCCTTTTTCCTGGTAAATTCTTATTTTCCCTGAATCTTAAGGTTTTTGGTTGTGTCTGTTATGTTTATAATTTGGGTCTTGGATTTGACAAACTTGACCCTCGAGCTACAAAATGTGTATTTCTTGGTTACTCCCGCACGTAAAAGGGGTATTGTTGCTACAGTCCTTCTCTGCATCGATACTTTACTAACTGCGGATGTCACATTTGAAGAATCTGTTCCATACTTTCCAGCACCTTTTCAGCCTTTGGATCTGGACTTTGGATCTTCTCCTGTACCACCATCTCTTTTTTTTATCTTCAGATATTCTGCTGCCCACTGTATTACCATCTACTTTACCTCTCCGTCCTCGCCCATCGACTGAAGTGCCCGTTCCGTCTTCCTTGCTGCCTTCTGATCCTGGAACATCAAGTAATTTAGATTCTTTACCTATTGCTCTTCACAAAGGTATTTGTTCATGTGTTACTAATCATCCCATTTCTCATTTTGTTTCATATGATACCTTGTCTGCTGTTTTCTCTTGTTTTACTTCTCAATTATCTGCTATATCTATTCCTAAGTATTTACAGGATGCATTATCTGATCCGGGTTAGAAGAAAGTTATGGAGGAGGAGATGGATACTTTACATCATAATGGGACTTGAGATCTCGTTTCTTTACCCTCCGGTAAACGACCTGTTGGCTATCGTTGGGTGTATACTATTAAATTTCATCCACATAATTCTATGGAGCGTCTCAAAGCCCAGCTTGTTGCAAAGGGCTTTACTTAGACTTATAGTGTTGATTATGAGGAGACTTTTTCTCCTGTTGTTAAAATTTTCTCTGTTCGTATCTTGATTTTTTTGGCTGCTAATCTTGATCGACCCTTGTTTCAGTTAGATGTCAAGAATACCTTCTTACATGGTGATTTGGTTGAAGAGGTCTACATGGAGCAGCCACCTAGGTTTACTACTCAGGGGGAGTATGGTAAGAGTGTATGTCGGTTAAGAAAATCTTTGTATAGTTTAAACCAGTCACCGAGGGCATGATTTTGTAAGTTTTCAGATGCAGTTTTAGAGTTTAGTGTTCTTCGATGTCAGACAGATCATTTTGTGTTTCATAGGCAGACAGATGCTGGGTATGTCCTATTGGTGGTCTATGTAGATGATATTGTGATTACTGAAAATGATTCTGAGGGGATTGTCAAGTTAAAAATATTCTTACAAGATCGTTTTTATACTAAGAATTTGAAAAAATTTAGGTATTTCTTGGGTATTGAGGTGACTCGATCTAAATAGGGTATTTGTTTATCTCAGAGGAAATATGTACTTGACATGTTTGAGGAAGTAGGTTTGCTGGGTGTAGACCGATTGATGTTCGTATGGATCCGAATCAAAAATTATTGATGGATGATGGTGTATTGTTTGAGAATCCAAGTCGGTATCGCAGATTGGTTAGGAAGCTTAATTATCTCACTATTATTCGACTGAATATTTCCTATGCAGTCAGTATAGTAAGTCGGTTCATGGGATGTCTTAGAGTACCACATTGGGAGGCAGTTACTTGTATTGTGCGATATCTCAAACGAGCTCCTGGACTTAGACTGTTATATCGAGCTAATGGACATCTTAGAGTGGAAGGTTTCTCAGATTCTGATTGGGTTGACTATCTTTCTGATCGGAGATTAACCACTGGTTATTGTACTTTCTTAGGAGGTAATGTTGTCTCATGGAAAAACATAGTTTTAAAACCCGGTCTGGACATCAACCCGGAGAAGGGACCGGATCAATGAGTTATTGGTTCAACTACTGGGTCACTGGTCGAACCGGTGATATAATAAAAAATAAAAAATAATTATTAATGATAAATAGACTAAAAAATTATAATAGTTATAAAAATAACATGTTTAATAT